CTGCGGAATCGGAGATTTTCGTGTGACGGAGCGGAAATCACGGAGGAATACGTCGTATTAAGCCTTGATCCTGACAAAGCATTTTGTTTAAGCTTTATCGGCACTCCACAATATAGATCAGAGAATACAAAATATACGTTGGATAATTATGTTTATTTGATTTATAATATTAAGGAATATAAGTATCAGATTCAAGATCGAATCTATTCAACTGAAGACACCGTTTGCTAAGGAAATTACGACTGCTTATATATCTATTTCGAGTTCTGCACCTACTGCGCTGTTCTATATTCTAAAACTAATAAATACATGAGAATTAAATTAAACGAAACAAATCCGTCTGCATCAGGTGAAATCTGTTTTGTTTTCATCTGTCAACCCGATATATCAAAATCTGTTTCGTTTTCTTGGTCCTACATTCCAATTAAATTCGTGAAACGAAAATGCTGCGGCATGGAAATGTTCGTGTAACTCATCGGAAATCACGGAGGAATACGTCATGCTAATCATAAGTCTTGACAGAATCCCCTCCTATTCTGACGTTATTTCCGAAAGTTTTGCGCGGCTGTGACTCGTCAGCTGTTTTCTTTCTTAAGCTGATCGTGGCTCATTTTCCGAACTTTATCTTGACTAAGATAGTCCGTTTCAATGTCTTCTTCACACCCTTGGTACAAAAGGTATGTTTTGAGAGCCAATAGCCGAGTTGGAGATCCAAATATTCTGTAAGCCATTGAAGAGACATGTGGCTTCTCATATATCGCTTTTCCCCATGCATAAGCTAAAGTTCTGTTGTAACCTTTTCCTTGCAAATTGGCTCTATCCTCATTCATCTGTCTTTTTAAACCTCTAATACTACCAAACTCTGCTTCTGTTCTCCTAACTTTCTTTTCCCACTCCTTATCTTTTCCTTTATACTCTTCCCATCTATTTACATTATTGTTCTTTCTCCTTCTCTTTTCCTTTCTTTTTATTAACTCCTCTTCTTCTCCTTCTACTACATCCATTCCTTCACTAGTCCCATTGCTCATAGGTGTCGTAGATATCTGGGGTAGTGACTCGGGAGTAGAGGTCGTACTCCTCATCTGAATAATATCCGGCGACATCCCTAATGGTTTGTTTAGATGGTCCTGGTTGGGGGTCCCAAGTTTCTTCTGAGATGAGTACTCTTCCATCGTCGGTGTACTCATATCCCGTGTGCTTTCCTCTATATCCGAAGTCATAGTCGCTCCATACTGGCATTCCTCCGTTGGTAAGTTCTCGAACGAAAGGACTGCTGAGTCGACCATCGCTGGATGTTGTTGCTGTTGTTCTCCATCCGCTACTTCCATTGGGAGAGTAAGCTCTAACTCTCCACTCGTATTCATCATCATCTTCATTTCTTCCATCATCAGTTCCAGGTACAGAAACTGATTCGAGTTGGTTGATGTGGATGACTGGTCGTTTGTGGACAATGATGCTTTCGATGTCACTGTCGAATCCTCTAGGTCCGGATTCATTGTCGTCGTTATCGTCGGGTCCTCCCACTCTGGTACTTGTACTGGAGGCATCGTCGGGTATATCTCTTGGTCCTCCTGGGGCACTATTATCTCCCATGGTAGTGTCAACATGTCCTCCAGGGGAAGGGGGCTGGTAACTGGGTGATCGAGGTGGCTGAGGCTGAGGGGGTTGTGGCTGTGGAGGTGGCTGTCTTCGTTGCCACACATTGGTCCATCCTTCGGGCTGCTGGGCACATCTTAAGAATGCTCAGACCTGTTCTTGGGTGTCGTAGCTCCATTGATCAATTCGGACGTTTCTCCAGTAGTCGATACACTCCTGAATATCGTACTCGAACAGGACAGTTCCTCGTGCATTGGACAGGTTGTATATGTGGTAGTCCAATCCGTAATTGATCCGATCATGGGTGTAGGAGAAATGGTCCAAGAAGGGTAAGTAGTGTAACCAGAATCCTCCCTGGTTCTCCCAATTTCGTTCGCTTGCTTGCCACTTGTCGATTCCCATGTTAACAAAGATTCCAAAATCTTCCCATCCTTTAGGGTCTCGGAAGATTCTATCTCGTACACGAATACGGCCATGAGATATCCATCGTCTCTTCTCCTGACCAGAAAGTATTGAGTTCCATCCACATATCGATGGTACTTTGGGGGATAGACACATGGTATAGCATCGATGATGTCGTCACTGGCGTTTCTGAAATCATTGTAGCGGGTGATTTGCATTCGGTACTGAGGAAGGTCGTGGGTGTCGATGAACATGTTGGTTCGTAGTTCAGTGAAGGAATTTGCGCTGTGTACTGAGGTTTCGAGGTCTTTATTTAGGCACACATGGGGTGACCCCTTATTTTCTGTGCTTTTGCTACCTATCAAGACATATCTAGCACCTTATGGTACTAGTACATTTTACATATAAATAAATAAATTATAAAAATACATAAAAAATCTTATAATTCTATATATGTCCCACTTCTATTGTCTATCTATGATTATCTCCCATAAACCTGAGCATCAGCAGAGGAAACTAGCCACTAGTAAAAACCTAAACTGTACTTTATGTTTGACTAAGATAGTAGTGTGTGGGAATGTTAGTGTGAGCAGTGTGGAGGCCAGGTCGCTTGCCAATCTTTCCCGGTTGGTTTGGTTGGTGGGAGGGAAAGAACGGATTGGTAGGTCTGATCGGCTTGCTATGGTCCAGGTTCATTTACCTGGGCACTCCACATCATTACTCATATGTCCTGGGACTTTGCATGTGATGCAATAGGGTGGTATTACAACAGTGGCCTCTGTTGTATGTTCCTCTAGCAACCAGGTGCGTCCCCTTTTCTTCCGATTCCTTTGCCATCGGTACAAGTACGGCTGGAATTCTGGGTGTTTCATCACTTTTGCAAGGCTGAAATCACTCATGTCATTGGGACAAATTTCCCAATGGTGGCCTTCCTCCCAGCATAGAGCACAGAGATTGAAGCTCTGGATGTACTTGTCCACCTCTTCTGCCGATGGATTCCAAGAGTCTTCTTTTGCCATTCGTTTGTCACCTTTCCTTGGGGTATCCGGGTCCACCACAATGAACGGTGGTGGTGTGGTTGCCCTAAGTTCAGGTGGCAATTCATTTTCAACTTCCTCCATGTCTGCTCTTTGAAACTGGTGGGTTCCCTCCCTGAGCAAGGTTGGAGTAGCCTTTGAGGCATGTGCCTCTGGACCAGATCCTGATCCTGTGGCTGTGGTGGCTGAAAATTGTTGTGCCACAGTGGCGGGGCCAAATGTGGTGGGAGTGGCGCGGTTTCCTTTTTGGGGTGAAAGGACCTTGGAATTTTCCGAGGAGGCCGTGGAAATTTCCGGCCCCTTTTCCTTCCCTTTTTTGGTTTGTCCCTCCTTGCCAATCCTTTTTTCAGGGTCAAGCCATTCCCCAACTTTAGGATTTTTTCCAGGGCACAAAGAGGTGGAGTGCCCAGCAACTAAGCAGCGCAGACAAGCCTTTGGAGCTGCTGGCCACGTCGCTAGGATGGTGTCTTCAAAGCCTTCCAGAGTGAACACTGGTTCAGCCTTGAGTTTCTTTGCTTCCTTAGGAAGCTGGAGGAGCAAGTCCCAGCGTTTTGTAAGCCAGGGTTTGCCTGGGAACTTGTGTGGAGCAACATCAATTACTTCTCCATATTAGTCAGCGGAACAATCACAATAATCCAAGGGATGTGAAATTTCCGAAATTTTTTGTCGATTATTTCCGAAGACATATAGTCACAAATATATATAAAATTTCGACCAAAAATTTATCTGCATAATCTGAATACAACATGGCACAATCTAACCCCCTGAGACAATATAACAAAATTTTTGCTTCTTGACGTCCTTTTTCTAATAATGTT